GCTTCGGTTGTCGACAGCGGATCAGAAGGCCGAAAGGGCACGTTAGGTTACTTGGTGTGAATGCAAGGTTAGATTGATCGCTGTGGTCGGCATGATTGTTGGTGGTATCGGTAGATATTTTTATTTTGTATATTTTTGTTTTGTTATTTTTTAATGGAACAAATTAAGGCGCGCTCATGTCCATTTTTGGATTTTGGAAGTGGCCGAAGGTTTCATTTTGTATGGAGTCGAGTCTTGTTTGACAAAGAATCAGTCATTGAATTTCAGTTGAGTTATTCTGAAATCTCTTTTTCACTAAGTCAATGTCTAGCTAATCTCTCTCTCTCTCTCTCTCTCTCAAAATAAAAATAATAAAATAATAATAAATATATTAAAAATAGCTAATCTTGCATTTTAATTCGTAGACTTCTCATATATAGAAATGATATGGTGCTATTGGTGTAGTCGAATTATTCTTGTGAGTTGTGGCCATCCGTACATAAGTTGGCAACTATCATCGTATGGAGAAACAGGCCACTTTCTAATGGTTACAGGACAATATATACAGTTAACATCATCAAATTATTGACCTGTCAAATGGAAGGTAAATAGGCCTTTTAAGAACAAATTTGATTTAAAAAAATACTTAACTACCTACTTTCTGTTTAAATAATTACACTTTTTGAACTATTCCAACACCGAGTTCCCAAAACAAACAAAGCACGAGAGGAACTGTTATACCTAGGAAATTACCAAGACCAGTAAGTGCGACCACATGATAATCAACTGGCTAATTCTCAAAGCACCCGCAAATATAGCTCAGGTGATAAGCCGACCAACTCGTCTCGCAATACAGATCGAGACGAAAGACGTTTCCGACCCGGATCCTACTGGATGTCTGACTTCGAGATGAAAGGCGAACTCCACTCAGACTTGACACAAGGCATCTCGAACAGTGGAACAGTCTAACAAGCGTCATCAATGGTCACATTGCACAGTGTGCGCCCACATTTCGCCGCTCAATAGCCATCAAACAATTAATTCGCGTCAGTCATTATGACCTTTCGAGCCAGAGCTTTCAAAGCTCCTCAAACACGCCATTACTCCAATAGCCCCACCACTATGCAAAGGCGACTCGGCCAATCAGCAGCCGTCACGTGCAAAGTAGGATCTGAACCAATGCTGCACACATGACTCGGCTGAAATTACTCACGTTCCCCACAAACCACTATAAATAATGAAGATTTCCACTAAATCAGGGTATGCAATTTTAACACAATAAGTCAACAAGACTATACTATGTTTTTCTCTTCAAGTTAACTAGAAACAGTTACCGACATGAGCATCGGAGGGCAAGCCGGAGGAAATAACCTCCTCTGCCTTTAACCTTTGTTATCTATGTTGCTGCGTACAGCTCAAAACATCCAAACCAGGAGAATCAACCATAAAAGCCGATTAAGGGACCAAAAAAATTGAGTTTAACCCTCCTAAATCACGTATCAACCTCGTGACATAAACAAGAACAGTTTCATTTTATAGACTATATAAGTTTGAATATTCCATGATCACAAAATAAGCCAGGATATAACTAGTTAAATATGATCTAAGACAAATGTCCATACACAGTGCTAAATTAATCTCTTTAAGCATGACCAAAGAATAATCAAGAACTAGTGTCGTAGAACCTTTACTTGAAAACAAGTGTATCTTATGTACTTTGATTTCGGCATTTGTCGGTTTCTCATTGTATATTATACGGGTTGACGTTCATGAGTTAGCTATGTAACTTAATCAAAACGAGAAAAAGGCTTATTGATGCGTTGGCCGCAACGAAAATGGAGAAATGGCGGGAACTGCGGCGATTGGGCGGCTGCCGACTGTGGAAGCATGCCCGTAATTTTCATTTCATTTCGTGTATTTATATATGCAGAGTTTTGTGGGCCAAACCCTGCTGCTTAATTCGCTTAATTACGCGTGACGGGTCCACGTATCCAAATAAAAATCATGTCAATCATGTTAGGATGCATGTTGCTGCTGAACAAAATTTGGAGAAGGAAGCAATTTTCTACACAAAACGCCGCATAGCACGAGACATAACGCGTTCCACCTAATGACCTCGGGTTTCCAAAAAACATCGTGTTTTTAGGGTTCGTTCAATGCAAGGATAGATGGGATTAGACTTTATCTTGATAAAGCTTTTTTTTTTTTTTTTTGACTTTATTCATGTCTAGTATCTCGTTAAACTTGTATCAAGTTAAAAAGTTTAACCACGTATGAAGATAAATTTTAACAAGTTAAGGAGTAGAATTAAAAACGGTGCAAGTTTATTTAGTCACGTGGAATTACAACAACCCAAAAAAGTTTTAAAACTTGTAAAAAGCCCCGCTAAAATAAAAAAAATTACAAATATTACTTCTAAAATAGATAATTACCTAAAAAACACCATCAGAAATGTAAAATTATAAAAAGAACCCTAAAAAAATACAAACTTGTCATAGCACCCTAAAAATTAAAAACATGCAAACTAGAACATGAAAGTTCTTGCAATTTACAGAAAACACCTGAAAGTTAAAAAATTCAAACAACACCCTTATAATTTCAAATTTTACAAAAAAACACCCTAGTAGTCTCAAACCTATATAGAAACGATATTAGAAAATCTAAAAATTACAAACAACCACTAAAAATTATTGAATTTGCACAAAACACCATGAAAGATTAGTAAATTGCAAAAAAAACCATTGAAATTTCAAAATTTATAAGAAACTATTTCAAACAAACATATAGTAAACTAAATATATAAGAATTACAAACAACCCCTAAACAATTGGAACTTGAAGAAAATGACTTGAAATTTTAAAAAATTGCAAAAAGAGATCAATATTCAAAATTTACATAAAACACCCTAAAAATCTCAAGCTATAAACAACACATTGAAGTCAAGGAATTACGAGCAGCCCTTGAAAATTTTGGAATCTGTAGAAAACACCCTAACGTTTAGAAATTATAAAAAAAAGTCCAAAAATTCACAAAAAAACACTAAAAATTTCAAATAGTAAATTGAAAATTTTTGAATTTTAAAAAAATTTATGGAAAGCACCCTAAATGTTTAGAATATTGCAAAAAACACACTAAAAAATTAAAAAAAGTACAAAAAGCACACTAAAAAATTAAAAAAATTACAAAAAACACTTGTTTTGTAAAGTTTTTATCTTTTGAGGGTGTTTTTATAAATGTCAAAAAAATTAGGGTATTTTTTGTATTTTAGAACTTTTAGAATGTTTTTTGCAAATTATAGTTTTTTCATGGTTGTATGTAACTCTGAACTATTTTTTAATTACTGCTTGTAGGTTTGAGATTATTTGGGTGTTTTTTTGTAGTTTTAGACTATCAGGATGCTTTTTGCAAATTCACAAAAAAACACTAAAAATTTCAAACTTACAAATAGTACATTGAAAATATATGGATTTTAAATTTATGGAAAGCACCCTAAATATTTAGAATATTTCAAAAAGCACCCTCAAAAATTAAAAATATACAAAAAAAACACTTGTTTTGTAAAGTTTTTATCTTTTGAGGGTGTTTTTATAAATATCAAAAAAATTTAGGATATTTTTTGTATTTTAGAACTTTTATGTTTTTTGCAAATTCTAGTTTTTTCATGGTTGTATGTAACTCTGAACTTTTTTCAATTACTGCTTGTAGGTTTGAGATTCTCTTTGGGTGTTTTTTTGTAGTTTTAGACTATTTGGATGTTTTTTTGCAAATTCTAAGCATTTTCATGGGTTTGTTTGTAGGATTTTATTTGTGCAAGAAGTTTTTTGTTAATTAGAATTGTGTATGGGTTTTTTTATAATTGACAAATTTTTGAGGAGGTTATTTTTAAGTTTCATATTTTTAGGGAGCTTCTTGTAAATTTTGAATTTTGAGTTAAGAGTGGAGTAGATCCATCTGAGGTCAAAAAAATTTAGGGTTAATTTGTGAACAACCTTGTAATATCACCCACTTGTAAAAAGATCCTAGTAGTTCTATTTTCGTGAATTGACTTCTGAGTGAATTTTTTTTACTCTTAAAAGTGTTTAAAATACTGGGGGAGGCGGGTAGATCCTTGTAGTTCAATTGATGAGCATAGACCCTCAATTACTAATTCTTTTGACTTTTAAAGGAGTAAAAAAAGTTCACTAAGTTGGTGTATTCGAACTGTTGATGTTAATAATCACACAGATAATGTAATGTGGCTGAAGTTGATTAGGGGCTGCAAACTTCTCTGAATATCTGGTTTTAAGTTGAGTAGCTTCTTCCTTCACAAATAGCAACTCGTAAGAGGACGAGGACTAGTTCCCCAGTAATTTCTCCGACGATCAAGTCAGTGATGGACTTGAGTGGAAAAGTGATGAACTGTGTGAGTTCTTAAGTGTAGTGGAGTGGATAAGAATTCTGAGAGATTGCTTACCTTATTGTTGGAAAATAGTACCCCTATTTATAGTAATGGTAAAAAGGTAGAATGATAATTGCGGCCAAGTACGAGATGGTGGTCACGTCAACATCTGCTTTACAAGTGTCGGTCGATGAATGATCTTAACACCACATGCCCGAAAGACGATTTCCCTCTTCCCATTACGGATGTTATTATCGATAATACGTGTGGGTTCGAGAGAATGTCCTTCATGGACGGATTCTCTGGTTATAATCAGATAAAGATGCATCCATATGATGAAAAGCATACCGCGTTCAGAACATCCCAAGGCGTTTTCTGCTACACGGTTATACTCTTTGGCTTAAAGAACGCAGGTGCCACATATCAGAGAGCTATGTCAAAAATTTTCCAGGAGCATCTCCGGAAGACTGTCGAATGCTACGTTGACGATCTAGTCGTGAAAAGTCGTGACAATAATGACCACATCAAAAACTTGAAGACGATGTTCGACCTGATGCGGACTCATCAATTAAAAATGAATTCTACCAAATCTTTTCTCGGAATGTCCAGCGGCAAATTCCTTAGATTCGTCGTCACTAATAAGGGTATTCACATTGACCCTGTAAAGTGAAGGCAAAATTAATGAGTTGCAACCCCCGAGAAACCTTAAGGAACTCAGAGGATTACAAGGACGGTTGGCTTATATCCGTTAGTTCATCTCGAACCTTTCGGGGAAATGTCAACCATTCTCCAGGCTCACAAAGAAGGGTGTATCATTCGTATGGGACGATGCTTGTCAAAAAGCATTCGAGAATATTAAAGAACATCTCTCGAAACCCCCTGTACTCATTGCACCAAAATCAGGCAAACCGTTCTTGATTTATGTCAAGGCGACGAGCCACTCGTTAAGTGTATTACTTACACAAGACGATCATAACGGTCACGAACAAGCAGTATATTACTTAAGCCAGACCCTTGTAGGTGCTGAATCCCGGTATCTAATGATTGAAAGGGAGTGTCTCGCCTTGGTATTTGTGATTCAAAAGATGCGACACTACTTGGCAGGATAGACTATTTACGTCATTTCCAATGTTAACCCAGTCCGAGTATTCATGATGCAACCATCTTTCATGAATTGACGGTTAGGAAAGTGGACCCTGCTTCTGTCCTAATACGACCTACACTTTAAACAATAAAAGTCAGTTAAAGGACAAGCTATTTGTGATCTCCTGGTAGCTAACCCAACTACGGATACCGCCAAAGTATACGACGATCTGCCGGATGAAACTCACAAAGCCAACGTAACTTCCCATCAACATGTATGATGTTTGTACTTCGACGGTGCTTCTCGAGTAACTAATGTAGCAAGTGCTCCTAGATGTTCTAAGATTTCCTCCGGAGTTGGAGTTGTCTTAGTTTTCTCGGGAAAACATGTGATGCCTCGAGCCTACTCGCTGACCGAGCCATGCTCAAACAACGTAGCCGAGTATAACGCGCTGTTTATTGGACTCAACTTTGCTAAAGAGTTGGGGGTCGAGTACCTTGAAGCTTTCGGTGACTCTCAACTGGTAGTTAAACAGATTCAAGAAGAGTATGAGGTCAGAAAACAGGATTTGATACCCTACCATAAGATGGCCGTTGAGATGGCGGAATTGTTTGAAGGATTCTTCATCGAATACATTCCACGCTTACAGAATGCCTACGCGGACGCATTAGCAGCATTAGCAGTATCTCTGGCACAGCCTCCAGAAACGGAACAATTCTTACGGTAAGAACTCACCAACTCTTCGTACCAATTTACGATGTAGACGACGGAGAAGAGGATACTAAATAAGTACATTCAACGCAAGTTGAGTTTGAGCCACGAGATTGGCGTTTCCCTGTCATCGATTATGTCTTACACGGGATTTTACCAGAATACGTGAAAGAAAGGGACTCAATCCGATGGAGAGCACCAATGTTCTACTATAACATAGAGAGTCGAATGCTATATCATTGGGGGTACGATGGTTTGCTACTACATTGCTTATCGACTAAAGAAGCTGAAGAAGTCCTTAAGGAAACACACGAAGGAGTTTGTGGCACACACCAACCTGGCCCCAAACTTTATGACCGCATCAGAAGAATGAGATATTTCTGGCCCACCATGATAAAAGACGCAGTCGTGTATGCACAGAAGTGTCATGCGTGTCAAATACACGCGAATTATATGCATCAACCCCCGGAGCATATGCACCCTTCAGCCACGTCATGGCCTTTCGAAACTTGAGAAATGGACATTGTTGGTCCTATTTTTCCCCGTCCATCAAAGACGACCGGTTCATCCTAGCGATTACAGATTACTTCTCCAAATAGGTTGAAGCGATTCCGCTCAAAGAAGTAAAGATGAGCAATGTGAATTCATCAAGCACCATATTATCTACCGATATGGTATTCCAAGGCGAATCATACACGACAATGGGCCCCAGTTTATTAGTAACACCTTCATTAAATTTTGTGAGAATTTCAAAATTCAAGACGTCTCATCGATAACTTACAATCCCACATCAAACGGGTTAGCAGAGGCCTTTAACAAGACTATCATAAAGCTTTTATCAAAAATCATGAAAACTAATAAACGAGATTGGGATGATAAGCTTAGCGTAGCCCTATGGGCCTATTGTACCACGGTCCACACGCCGACAGGATCGACCCCATATTCTTTGGTATACGGATGTGAAGCCGTTCTTCCATTGGAAATTCAAATTCCATCTATTCGGACCGCTCTTGCAACAGAGTTAACAACCGAAGAACAACATCAGAAACGTCTCGAAGAACTTGAGATGCTCGATGAAAAGCGCTTAGAAGCTCAACAGCACATTGAGTTCTACCAAGCCAGAATTTTCCGAGCTTTTGATAAAAAAGTTCGACAACGGAGTTTTAAAGAAGGAGACTTGGTCTTAGCCGTCCGACGGCCCATGATCCTTAATTCCAAGAAGAAAGACAAATTTGAACCCAAATGGGAGGGGCCATTTGTAGTAGAGACAGTCTACTCGAATGGCGCATATCGCCTTATTACCAAGGAAGGTGCTCGACTCATGATGCCGATAAACGAGAAATTCCTAAAAAAGTACTACCCTAAGTACGTTTGGGATAACCCATGTCACGGGAAGTTCCCGAAAGAATACTATGTGGGGTATTCTTAGGGATAACCCGGTAGTTACAAAAAGGGATAAGCAAGAAATCCCCATTTAGACTCTGAATGTTCTCAATGATGGAATCTATCTCATTTTCGAGATTAAATTCACCAACTTTCGTGAATAGTTTTATTGAGACGAGATTCGATCACTTTGATGAATCAATCTTCCCTCACGAAACCCCCACTGGTGTTTGACAATTCATAATCTTTCACCACAAAGTCCCTCACTGATCAAACCAATTGACGGTGAGTCCACCAAAATTCTTATTGGTTAAATCCATTCAAACGATCGCCGTGTTTGTGCATTTAACACTCGTGTTGTTAAAACACTAACACGACACCCTTTCCGCTAATCTTTGGCAATTTCAAACTTTGTGTGTTAAGTACTAATCACTTGGCATTAAAATTCTCCATCGAGTGGCTAGTACAAATCGGTATTTTCACTGCTATCTGTATTCCACTCCCACTGCTTTTTTAGTCAAACCTATAAAAGTTAGGGTCAAAACTAGAATCCCTTCTCAATTCCTTTCATGAACGAGAGGTCCACTTTCAATTGAGCAATCAAACCTATAAAAATTAGGATTGCTTCAAACCCACTCGGCCAAACCTATAAAAGTTAGGGTCGAAGTCCGAATTTCACTTCGATAAACGAAGAGCTCTTTTCAGTTTAAGCAACCAATCCTATAAAAGTTAGGGTTGCTTAAATCTTCCCGATTCTCGGAGTGAAGATCTCACTCTTAGTTTTATTTTTTTTGGATTCTTAAGGTGGAGATCTCACCTTGAGTTTTCCCTGCAACTAGAGATAGGGTATAAAATCCTTCCTCTTTAGTTTTGGGAGATAGAATATAAAATTCTTCCTCTCCCACTCCGGGTTTGTCTTTACCCTTAGAAAAGACACATTCCTCAACTTCAAATCCACGTACTTCATGCACGTGGGGTTTTATCTCAAACCCTAAAAGAGAGATAAGTCTGCATCTAACACATGCTGTCGGTTTAGTCTTTCACCGAATGAAAAGACACCAGAATACAAGTCTGGGGATTTTTATCCTGAATCCTAAGTAAGGATGAGTCAGCGCCTAACACGTGTTGCCGGGTAGTCTATTCTCGTGATAAAGGTAAAGTCTATGTATTCAATATCATAGCATCAAGCCTAAGAGAATTTATTCTTTTAGCACAACGTTACATGTAGAATGGACGTATACAATCTGCATGCTAGCCCGATTTAAACGATAATCCGTAAAGGCACGTCAAATCTGTTGAAGGATGAGGATTTGTCAAAAATCTTAAGTCTGCATCTAACACATGCTGCCGGTTTAGTCTTTCATCGAATGAAAAGACACCAGAATACAAATCTGAGGACTTTTATCCTAAATCCTAAATAAGGATGAGTCAGTGCCTAACACGCGTTGCCGGGTAGTTTATTCCCGTGACAAAGACAAAGTCTATGTATTCAATATCATAGCGTCAAGTCTAAGAGAATTCATTCTTTTAGCACAACGTTACATGCGAATGGACCTATACAATCTGCATGCTAGCCCGATTCAAACGGTAATCGGTAAAGGCACATCAAATCTGTTGAGGGCTGAGGATTTGCCAAAAATCCTATAGGAATTATGCCCACTTGGTTCACAATCAACAAAGAGAAATCATGATAAAAGATGAGTATACTAAATCAAATACTGGGTCTTTACTAATAGATCAAGTCAAAGCATATAATAATAAAGCTCATCGGCCCGAACGCAATTGGCGACCAAGAATGTGAAGTTTTAACCTAGAGAGCTTATCTACATAACCCTGCTCAAGCTCAGCCTGTAGATCGATCCAGACAGAATCTTCAGAGCTACTCAAGATCTTCGTGGCTTTACCTTTTAGCTTCATCAATCTCTCCTGTGCAGATCCTAGTCTCTCCAAAATCTGTCCACGAGAACTCTCTAAGCCAGCTAGCTCATCTGCAATGATAGCGCTGGACTCCTCAGCATACTTCAGGGCTTTCTTCAGCCTGGCTATCTCTTCACAGTTGGAATCTAAAGAACTGAGTAACTCGGCTCTATCCGTATCCTTCCTCACAAGACTAGCCATCATCTGTGTGATAAAACTCTCATGCGACTAAAGTTAGCTACCAATAGAAGATCTGAGGTCGCGCCAGTGTGTCAGTCTATGCTCCAACTGAGAAGATACAAAGGAAGAAGCCCTACTAGCCTTCAACTCCTCTAACTCTTGGAATTTACACTCCAGAACAATAAAGTCAGCAGTGAGAGAATCAGCTAACTCAGGATATCCCTCCTCTCTAAGCATCACACTCCAGAACAATAAAGTCAGCAGTGAGAGAATCAGCTAACTCAGGATATCCCTCCTCTCTAAGCATCGACATGTATCGGGCAAGAGAACACAGTGAGAGAATCAGCTAACTCAGGATATCCCTCCTCTCTAAGCATCGACATGTATCGGGCAAGAGAACACCTAAACTGATCAAAGAAATATCCCTGATGAAGAAGCTTCTCGATCATTCCATCAAGGAAGTTAACGAAATAACCAAGGTCCACTCGAAAAATGTCCCTGCTGGGATCAGGATCGGCTAAAAGGGCTAGGACACGCTCATATGGAGATAGTATAGACCCTATAAGTAATTGTGTAGAAGGGTAAGAGACTCTAGAATATGGTGGGAAAATCCAGAGTGAATTATGAGCATACCAGTACCAACAGAGGTCCCTTTAGTTTGAGGTCCTATGCTAGGCTCCGTCAATCCAATCTCAGCAGGCTCAGGAATGGTAGCAGGCGTGATCGTTGACGGTATATCAACTCCTCTAGGTAATTCTGTAATACCCGTTGGGTTTGGAGAAGATACACCACCGTCAGGAAAACTAAGGATACTAGGAATCGTAGTCGTATCAGTCATGACGGCTGGTCCTATGATTACAATTCTTTATTAGTCAAATAGAGATTCGGACAAAAGAAAAGAATGACGATGGAGGGGATTACATGCATACCTGTAGATCCACCATCCTCTGGTAAACTAGGAAAACCAGAAATCATAGCCGTATCAGTCCCAATAGCTGGTCCTATGATTAGAACTCCCTATCAGTCAAATGGAGGTTGTGACAAATTACAATATCAGAGATTAGATGCATACGTGCAGATAAACCACCCTCAAGGGATGGTCCTGCAGCCTCTCTGGTAGCTTGCTCTACCAACATCTCAATAAGTAATCTAGTGTCGGATCCCGAGAAACTCTGTGCTGAGACATACATGTGTTCACTGAATCCTCCAAGATCCATACCATGAAAAGTCTCGTCCTCAACCGGTCTCTCTAGCGTGATGCCCAAACAAGAGTTGAAACTCAAATTTACCTGTGGTAGTAGTAGAAGGCTCTTCTGCCCTAATATTCGCACCCGTGTTCTTCAATTTGTCTAAAAGAGAATGAAGCGCGGAAGTGATTAAAGGGGGAACAAATTCCGAATTGCCTAACCCCTTTAACTGCTGCTTGAATAGTGTATTACCGAGGTTAGATATACTTGGGCATAGAATCCTCGGCTCAACGGTATCAGCCTACGTAGCATTTCTGTTTGCTTCAACATCCATAGGCTCATCACGAAT